CATATTTAAGCTAACTGGTCTTTAATTACTCGATAGGGCTTTCCTAAAGTGTTCAAAAGAACCTAACAGAATAGGATGCCAAGGCATCTACTCTCACTCAACGATAATACTCCTAGTCTCTTCCGAGATCTAAGGGATTAGGTTATAATACTCCTAGGCCGGTTCAAATCCCCTTGAAAATACTATAACCCATTGTTTATGAGGATCTTATCTTGTGATTCTCCCAAATACAACAAGTATTTTTAGCTTAGGATTCTTCTGAACACCTAACCTTCATCTAAGAAATAGACATTTCCATGCCTCTTACAAGCCTAGATGGTGAAGCATTCATAAGGAAAACAAATAAAGAACCAAAATAAACTTAAATATACCATTAAAAATAAAGTTTAAACAACCATTAAATCAACCACCACCAAATAAGTTAGTTCATGGTGGGGTTCGAAATATCCAAACAAAAAGTCATGAAAATATTCGTTCCATCAACCCAAAAATAAATAGAAAAATAGCAGCAAAAAGGGAAGTGAGAAGAATCTTTCGACGCGCCACCGGAGGTACTCCTCGGCCACCACAAACCACCTTAGCTTGCTAGCTCCTTTCAGCGCCTAGCTTACCACTCCTTGAAGCTTTATCAATGGAGGAAAACCCAAAGGAAGAAGAAAGTAAAAACGGAAAATAAAAATCTGATTTTTTCTGCTCTATGTGTATGCGTCAATCTCCTCTCTTTCTCTCTCCCATGAGGTGTCATATATAACAAAAACATCTAGGGGTAATGATGAGGTTTTTGGGTTCAAAATACCCCTCATACCCCTAGAATCACATGTTGGGCTTATCCTCTAAGTGGAAGTGGTCCTCTGCCAGCTCTGGCAGGCGGTTACAGCCATCATTCACGTGTAGAGACAGTTGTCCAGTGCCAGCTGTCCTTGTGCAGAAATATCTTTTTGTCTTTTTATGCGCAGTAAATGCCAAGGCATTTCAATCTGCTTCAGCAACGTGTGATGTCGTGCCATTACTTCCCAAAGAGTCCTTTTGCTTACTATTCCCTGCACACCACAAACAAACTGCACCATTCCCTCAAACAACACAATTAAGAAATAAAATAGCACAACCACCACAAATGCAACTATAGGCAACTACATGATCCTAAAATTACTAAAATGAGCTTTTAAACAAACAATAACTTAAGTGAAAAAGGCCTTAAAAGTAGATTTTTTAGGAAGTTATCACACCCCTAAACTTAAGCTATTGCTTGTCCTCAAGCAATGGATAGCAGTTACATAAGCATAATGTCATGGCAATTTTCAATAATAAGACAATAGGACAAAATAGAATTTCAACCCTCAGAACAATAAGCTTCAACATGCTAGACATATCAAGATTCAAGTACTTTTCCATATGTCAAGATTCTTTGTGGTAGTGTGTGTGCCTGATTGTATCCAATCTATACTTAGCAAATTTAGACAATTTCTAATCAAGTTCCCTAGTTTAGGCCAAGGAATTTACTCATTCATTAAGCACATTTTTACTCCCTTTTATTCTGATTGATTTTTTTAGATGTTGTTACGAAGGGAGTCAACTCATCACACCTACTCTTCCACACTCTAGGTGAAAGGGAGCATACCTTCCACCCCCAAGTTAGTTAAGTAGAGTCATCCCGGGACTTCTTTCATTCACTCATATGCACAAGGCTGCCATTTATTAAAGAAAGTTCCAGGCAATGCCACAGTAAAGAGGAGTGTCCCTCTACAGCTATGCCTAAGCATTTATTCACAGTTTCATTTATAAGGGAGTTTGTTTTTTATTTTTCTTTTAAGCACAATAATAAATTTCAATGTCAAAACTAACTAGTGTTCTTTCATAAAAATTTCCTAAATTTTCTAAGTATAGAGAACATAAAAATCGTGTAGAAAAATTTCACAAAGCATCAAGCCCTAGAGTGAGTTCTATCATTCTCAATAGTCATTTACATTCAGATTCTAGCCTAACAAATTCATCATAATCGGGTATCCTCAAAACATTTCATCTAACTGTCCTACCATTTTCTGATGCCATGGCATAATACTATGCTAATGCTATCATGCATATGACCTACCAAGAACACTACCCCCCAAACTTAAGGGAAGCATTGTCCTCAATGCTTAAAGAGAACAAAACTAACTAAAAACTATATACCATGCAATGAAATGCAACTAAAAGAAAATGGATGCAAGGGCGGTACCTCAATGAGTGTGTGGTGGTGTTGCCTTGGAGGTGCTAGTAGCTCCTCGTCGGGTACGCTTGCGTATAGGTACTGGGATGGACTCGGAAGAAGTGGAGTAATGACGCGCAATGCGTCCAGCCGTGGTCTTAATGCATCGGCCACTACGTGGTGCAGGATCGGGTGCAGGGGTGGGATTGGGTGTTTCTTCGATAGGGACAGTGGGCGAATATTCAGGAGTATCAGACCGGTGTGGATCAGGAGTCGGTTCATCAATTGGAGAATCGGTTGCATCGTACTCTGGTTCGGGAGATATCTCGGTATTGAATGCCGGAAGAATTTCGTCTGGGAAGCCAGGGAAATTTCGTAGACCGTGGGGAATAATTTCTTGAAACATCGATTCTACCAAAACATCTCTATGCTTCACATATCCAAAGAAGTTACGGATGTCACCGTGTAGAGCATGCATATGAGTCTGAGTCTGCATCATCGCTTCCTCGATAGCAAGTAATCTTGCCTCGACATTTGATTCTGTAGCACCTGCAGATTGCTCATTAACAGATTCTTTAGACTTGGGATTTTCAAGTCCCAATAGCAGTGGTAGTCTGGCCATAGTAATGCCCGATAATCCAGGTAAAATTTCATCAAAAACATTTTCCTCAACTTTTTTCTTACGACATAAAGCGGTAATTAAGTTAAGAAACACCAAAGTACTTACCTTTTTTCCCAAACAGCCATTAACTTGCTGAACAATAATACGACCAACATCAATCGGACAGGATACCATTAAAAATATAAAAGTAGTAAGCGTGAAAGTGATATCGTCGTGTTGTGAGAAGTTGGCATGAGTTTATGTTTAAGGAAGTGATTCCATAACTTGGCGCGCGATTGAAGACGTTCTCAGTTGACCGAGTATATACTTGTTTGGCACCCATTCCACTCAGTGTTTTTGAAGCAAAGGTCCTCCAAGACCCCATCGTAGGTGTTGCTATCGCCCTCATCTTCGAACGTGGCATGGCGGTCTACTACATCCTGCAAATGGAAGTAATGATTAATAGTAGAGGCTGTAAAATGGATATGCTTACCTCGGACGAAAATAGAGTGTTGGTTGGGCTTGGAAATATTCACGTAGAACTCTTTAACCACCGAGGCATTCACCGAACCCAGATGACGTACAAATTTCTTCCACTTGAGCGCTGTAACGATGTCCATAACATCGGGACCAAAACCACCATCGGTTTCCTCGATAAAAATAAATCCTAACTCAAAAATGAGTTTTTGGTTCTTAAAGTTTTGAAATAGAGCCTTGGCCTCGTCATCTTCGAACTATTGCCAAGCGGAAGTGTCGGTTGGAGCCGGTCTTGAGAGTACCATTTTCGGTGTTTTTGAAGTAAGAAAAATGAAAAAGGAAGAAGCTTTTGATAGCTATGAAGACTTGAAGGTTTTTCGGCTGTGGAGAGAATAAGGGAAGAAGATTAATGAAAGAAAGAGAAAAATTAAAAGTTAAAATGAAAGAGAAAAATTAATAATGAAAGATAAAAGAAAAAGTTAAAAATTTGAGAGGGAAAAAGGGGTGATAGGACGGTTAAAATAAATTGAGTGGGTGGGGGGTTATGCGTGTATGGGGAAAGAAAAAAAACTGCCAAAAGGTAATGATGATGATGGGACAAAAACTGTGGAGAGAGAAAAGTAAGTGTCAGAAAAATAAATTAAAAAAAAAACAAAATCAAAAGAATATCTCTCCAATTAATGCGTTGTCCTTTCCTCCCTTTGGTAACCGCTCCTTGCACGGTTTGCAGCGACGTGGTCCCTACAAATCAGATCAAAAATTAATTACAAAATAAAATAAAAATAGAAATAAAGAAAGGCTTAAATTTTAAATTTTATTTATGCACAGACACAAATTCAATGCCAGAACAATTTCATTCAATTAGCAGAAAATGAATATTGGGTGGATGATGAAAGCTTAGTGGAGTCCGACAACTTTTCAATTTTGGAGGAGGAATCTAGCTTACTACAAGTTAGATCAGGTATGAATTTTGAACATCTGAATTTTGATGAATTTATTCCTCCTAAGCCTTCATTATTGCATGCACCCACTCTAGAGCTTAAGACTTTGCCAGGGCATCTTAAATATGTTTACTTAGGTAGCGATGAAACTTTACCGGTTATTATTTCCGCTAACCTTACTGCTAATCAAGAGCAAAGTTTGTTAAGTGTGTTGATGCATCATAAGAAAACAATTGGTTGGACTATGGCTGACTTGAAAGGCATTAGTCCCACGATCAGCATGCACAAGATTCCGCTTGAATATTGGCAAGGCAATTTAATAGAACTACAAAGAAGACTCAACCCTGTTATAAAGAAAGTGGTGATGAAAGAAATTCTGAAATGGCTTGATGCTGGAGTGATTTACCCTATCTTGAATAGCTCATGGGTGAGCCCCGTCCAATGTGTTCTGATTAAAGGAGGCACAACGGTGGTTACCAATGACGATAATGAGCTATTACCTACTAGCACTGTGACCGGATGGATGATATGCATGGACTATAGAAAACTCAACAAAGCTATGAAGAAGGACCATTTTCCTCTACCTTTCATCGACCAAATGTTGGATCGATTGGCCGGCAAAGCATTCTATTACTTTTTGGATGGGTACTCTGGGTACAATCAAATTGCCATCGCACCAGAGGACCAAGAGAAGACTACATTTACTTGTCCCTATGGCACTTTTTGCCTTTAGGATGATGGCTTTTGGACTCTGTAATGCCCCGGTAACATTTCAGCACTGTATGCAAGCCATATTCTTAGACATGGTTGAGGATTTTCTGGAGATATTCATGGATGACTTTTCTGTTTGTGGAGACGATTTTGAACGATGCCTCGACAATTTGGCAAAAGTTCTCAAGAGATGCGAGGAGGCTGAGTTGGTCTTAAATTGGGAAAATTGTCACTTCATGGTGACTGAAGGCATTGTATTAGGCCACAAAATTTCTCACAAGGATATTGAGGTTGACAAGACGAAGATTGAAGTGATATAAAAGTTGACACCACCAACTTCGGTCAAGGGCTTAAGAAGTTTTCTTGGACATGCTGGATTTTATAGAAGATTTATCAAAGACTTCTCCAAGATTTCGAAGCCCTTGTGCTCATTGCTTCAATAAAACCAACCCTTTGTGTTTGACGAATTATACCTCGGCGCATTTACTGAGCTGAAAAGGCAACTGATCTCGGCACCCATTGTAGTTCCTCCTGACTGGACATCACCATTTGAGTTGATGTGTGATGCGAGTGATTATGCTGTACGAGCTGTTTTGGGACAACGCCGAGGTAAATTTTTTCATGTTATTTATTACTCTAGTCGCACTTTAAATGAAGCACAATTGAACTACACCACCACTGAGAAAGAATTACTTGCTGTGGTATTTGCTTTTGATAAATTTAGAGCTTACCTAATAGGCACAAAAGTTATTGTTCACACTGATCATTCGGCTATAAAATACTTAGTGAACAAAAAGGATGCCAAGCCTAGACTTATTAGGTGGATCTTACTTTTTCAAGAATTTGACTTAGAGGTGGTAGATAGAAAAGGAACTGGAAATCAAGTTGCCGATCACTTATATAGGATAGAGAACAATTCTGAATGCCATGACATTGTAGATATTCAAGAGGAATTTCCTGATGAGAAAATTTTATATGCCACGGCAATTCCGTGGTACGCTGACCTTGTTAATTTTCTTGTTAGTGGAATTTTGCCTTTTGATTTGAATAGTCAGGGTAGAAATAAGTTCAAGCACGATGCAAGGCACTATTTTTGGGATGAGCCATATTTGTTCAAGCATTGTGTCGATCAGCTCATTAGACGATGTGTACCTGAAGAGGAACAACACGACATTCTGTACCATTGTCATTCGGCCCCAATTGAAGGCCATTATGGTGGAGCAAGGACTGCAGTTGATACATGCACCACACACCCTAAAGCTAAGGATGATGAATTTACTATACCACTTGGCCCTATAACACGAGGCCGGACCAAACTTCTTAAAGACAAGCTTCAAATCGCAGTTCAAGCATTCATCCGTAAAGGTATAATAGCATCATATTTACAACAACTTTTTGAAGGGAATACAGTTGTTATCCGGTCGACATGTCTTCTGGAGATACAACCGTTTGTCTCTTATTTTTCCAACGGTTCTTGAATCTCATCAATCCGATATCGGGAACTCAAGATATGTTCATTTTACTAAAGACGGTGCATGTAGGAAATCCTATACGGGATTAATACGCTATTTTGTAAATATTACGAATTTTCAATATTTATATTGATTATTTGTAATATAATTTAATATAAGATGATTAATTATCTTTTAGGATCAGATTTATTATTTTATTAGGAATTAAGGTTGGGTTAAAACAATATTCTTAGTTATTATTATTTTATTAGGAATTAGAGTTAAAACATGTTTAGTTTATTAATATTTTATTCTTTAGTTATTTAGGACCTTTAGAATTCAACCCCTATATAAAGGAGGCTTCATTCAACTTTGTAAATCAGATTTCTTTGATTAATAATACAACAAAAGTTCATTTTTGCAAGTGTTGATTGCCTTGTGCCTTCGAAGCTTCTTCTCCTCGAGTTCTTTCAAGTTCTTGTGAGGAAGATTAATCTTCACACTCCAATTTGCCTTTTCATTACGACTAGGAGGGTTGGTTAGAGCCGTATTATCGTGTTTGCCTTTTCATTGCGACTAGGAGGGCTCGATAGGACATTATCCATCGATATTCCACATATTCATCCACGCCATCAATCATCTTTACCGTTCACTTTCATAAGGGAGATCTTTTGATTTCTTGGTTATTTGTCTTTATTTTCAATTCCTTTATCTTTTGTTTATCTTGTTTTAATCTTGTTTCTTACCTTGTTTCCAGCACCAAAAGAAACCCCAAAGAACCCTAGCTATTGCCACCACTTTCCCCATTCATTCCTTATTGTTCTTCATCGAGTCTAGAGATTTTCTAGGTTTGATTCTTCAACAAGAGCAACGTTCATTAACCCGCCACCGCTTCCCTATCAATTGGTATCAGATTTGGGCTGATTCTTGGAAAGAAGCAAGCAATCTTGTTTGTTCTTGCACAAAACACCGTCAAGGTACCCCAACGGAGCTAGTTCAGAGAAGATTCATCGTTTCAGGTTATTTTTATTTAATTTTAATTTAGATTCAAATCCTTCTTGTTAGTTTGCCATTTCTTTTTAAAAAAAACAAAAAAAGGCAAAAAAAACAAAAAAAAAGTCGAAATTTCAAAAAAAATTGCAAACGAAGGTATTTAGGGCTTCTTTTCTCTAGATATCATATTTATCTTAATTTTAATCTCCATTCCAAAATTCACTTCAATAAGAGTTCATTAGTGCCTTCAAATACATCATTCAAGTTTTATCGGCAGATTCGGTCTAGAATATTGTCGAATTTCTTGAAAATTCTATAGGAGGAATTTTATGGTGAAAATTTCCAGATTGAAACTTTATATATTGGATATCATTAAACCAAAAAATCAGAATTTTTGGAGATCAATAATAACTTCGAACAAAGTGATCAAGAAAAACAGATTGTTTGAGGACTCACCGTTCAACAGAGTCTACTGGATACTACTAAAGGTATTTGGTTCTGAAATTTTACATGTCGTTTCTTGACGCATCTAAAGACACTCAAGAAATTTTCCAGAATTTTTGGACATCTGTAACCCCCTCGAAAACGTTTCTCAAGTTGATCTAGCGTTTTCTAGGTTTTCTGGTTTGGTCCCTTTTTCTTTGATTCTTAGTGCTTTAGGTTCTTTTGTTTTTCCTTGTTATTGTTCTTTTGCATTATCTAACACATTATCTTCCTTGTGTTAGTAGGACTAAATAGTTTGCATACTTCTTCCTTCTTTGCATTCTCGTTCTCTTGGAGTTTAACCTTTGTTTGGTCTCTTAGAGCTTTTAGGTTTTTCTTATCGCCTTTGCTAGTAATCAAACTATGATACGAACTGTGAAAGACTACTTGGTAAAGTGAGTTTTAAAGAGTACAAGATCGGCTTACTTTCCTCTCGTTGTGTTACTTTCTTGGAGTGACTTGTGAGGTTTCTTGCTTTGTTGAATTTTTTTTTTCTACTTTAAAATCTTCTTTTGAGTGTTATAATTGCAGGATGGGCGATAATAACAATGAGACACTTACGGCTATGTTAGCCGCACTTGAACGACTCACAACTCAATTTGATCAACTTAACAATGCCTTCAGAGAACGACAAGAACTACAACTGGATCTACCAAACCAGAATCCAAGGCCAAACAATGTTGAACTTTTGGCCCCCAGGCGAGCACAACCACGTTTTCAAACACCCGAACTCTTTGCAAAACCAAAGTTCACGATCCCTTCTTTTAAAGGAGACTACGATCTAGACAAGTACATCGATTGGGAAGGAAAAATTGATCTCTTGTTCGCATACCATGACTGCCCCAAAGCTGAACAAGTTCCCTTCATCACCTTGGAATTCGAAGGATATGCTCACACTTGGTGGATGCAAACAAGGAAAAAGATCGACAGCTACCAAATTCAACCAATCACTTCTTGGACCGAACTCAAACATGCCATGAGGAACCGATTCCTACCGACACATTATACACGAGAAGTTAAACAACGACTACACCGACTTCGACAAGGTAGAAGTTCAGTTGAAGATTACTACAAGGAGATGCAGTCCATACTCAATAGGGCTAACATAATTGGAGAAGAAGAGGACACCATGTCAAGATTCGTCATCGGCTTAAACTCAAACATCACTGATCTTCTTGATCTCCATAGATACGAAAACCTCAAAGATACACTAAAGAAAGCAATGGCAATCGAAGCATAGATACAAAGGAGATTTCGATTCAGAGAACATTACCAAGGTACTTCATTCTCTTACCAAGGTAATCCTTCAAATCCTTCCTCATCGTCTACTCCATCTTCTCAAAAAAAGTCGAGAGATGACAAACTCAACAAAGAGAAACAACGACCAGAAAAGAATGAGACACTTCCAGCCTCTAAAGACGACACCCGAGCAAGAGACATCAAGTGTTTTAAATGCATAGGAAGAGGCCATATCAGCCGTAATTTTCCAAACACGAGAACCTTAACCATACTAGGTGATGGATCTTACAATTCTGACTCCGATGACGACATCGCCGATATTCCAGCACACGCCGAAGCCAAAGAAGATAGTGATGACTATGGAAGCGATGAGTACAATGGCACAATCTTGGTTATTCGTCATACATTGAACATCCAAGCATCCGACGAGTCTGACATACAACGTTCCAACATCTTCCACACACGCTGCCTAATCAAGGAACAACCATTCTCCATCATCATTGACAATGGTAGTTGTGTCAACGTCATTAGCTCCAACGTTGTTGAATCACTCAAACTTCCTTGCCAACGACATTCGAAACCTTATTGCTTACAATGGCTTAATGAGAGTGCCGAGATGAAGGTGGTTAAATAATGCCTCGTTAATATCAAGATGGGAAAGTATTGTGACGACGTATTGTGTGATGTAATTCCAATGCAAGCATCCCATATTCTCCTAGGACGGCCTTGGAAATACGACAATGACGTCACATATTATGGTCGAAAGAACACTTACACAATTCCAATAAAAGGTAAACCGTTCCGACTTAACCCCCTACCTCCCAAAGAGATTCTCATAGATCAACAACGAATTCTCAATGAAACAAGGAATTTGAAACAAAAGGCAAAAGAGGTCACAACCGATAAAAGCCAAAAAAATGACCCACGGG